TTGCTGTTATTTATATTTTGGCGTACTGCAATTTAATCACTGTATATAAATCATATTTGTTTGATAAATAAATATATTAGAGGTTGGTTGCTTACTTCTGGACTCATGAGAAGATAAGAGATGGGCTAATGGACCGTAAGCTAATGAGAGTTCAGTTACAGATTAACGATCAGTAGTGCGGGGTGGATATGTAAATTGTCACGTTGGAGAATTAATAAATACAGACCTTTCAGTGCCCAACTTCAATAAATAGTTTGGCATCGGCATACAGCCTCTCATCTAGGGCGCCTTTGGCAGACGTTTGTTTGTTAACTTATCACTGCTGTAATACTACTATTTTCATTAACACTAGTAAGTTTCCGCATCTTGAAGTCCCTATATTTCTGTCATCAGTGTACTGATATTTATATTGCAATAGTATATCATCTATTTGCTTCTTCTTTGTTTCTCAGTAGTTATTTTAAGACTGTTCATATCTAGATTAACTATTCTTATGTCAACGCTCCTGGGTCTAGTAACCATAGCTCTAAGAACAGATAAGTAAATATGTATGACGGGTGTGTTAACCACCGGTTAACTCTCCGATTCACCAGGATTAGCACAAACGACTGGCTAGAATATCCAAACTGGATCACATATATGATCTAGGACAGTACGTGTGACAGTTAGTGTCTAGAGATATCCCACGAGTTAGAGGATTATTTAAAGTAAAATGTAGGTATAAAGCTGGAAAGAAGAATAACGACAAACATACAACAATCAGCAATGAAGTGGAACTGTAACTCCATCCCTGGTTAAGTTTTCATTTAGCGTAAAGATATTGGATATTGGAAAGATACTCTGTGGGCTGGGGGAGTGTGAAGATGTTATTAGTTGGAGAAAAGAACGAGAGAGAAAGTGGGCCGACGACTCAGTCAACATATAGAATGCACTTACGTTTAATAGAAAAGAAATAGACAATAGTCAGAAATAACACAATCGTGAGAACAAGACGAACTTATATTTGTAATTAGGGGTTTTTAGCGCTTCGAAAGCGTTATGCAACTACGAAAATTCAATCATCAAAACTATTTCTAGATTGAGTTCCAAAATCAATCTCAGTGGTTTGATATCAAGAAGCTTGGTGATAAATCGTAATCACTTTATAGTATCTTGTCACAAATATATTGGATACTGTACATATATTGGTGAAGGAATGACCTTAAGTTTAATCGTGACAACTGGTGAGACCTGAAATTTTGGAGGGGATTTGCAAATTTGTTAGTTTTCGGATTATTTTCAGGCTCTCTCTAGGAAAGAACTGATAAAAATATACAGTTGTAACCGCATAGTTGCCAACGCAGTACATATTTTTAAGATCGTAGATTTCCTTTTCTTGATTAGTTCCATTGACAAGATTGCGTTGGTGAATTTATAGAAACATATAAGTATGCGTCTCATTCATGACTTCAGGTTTCATATATTGATATGTATTTGCACATTAGTTAATCACTCAATGCTAATAATCTCTGTCGTCTAGAACTTATCGATCTTTCTATCCTACAATGATCACGGACATTAGTCAGCTCAAACATTACTTGCTTTTTTGAGGATATGAGATGAACTTAGTTCTGTGTTAGACTACCTTTCCTGTTTACTGTTAGTTGATTTTTGTTTGGGAGATTCATAGTTCCCTTTCTTCTGGAAAATTTGTTTTTTTTAGTTCATTTTAGATAATAATTGGCTATATATATTACTAGATAAGCTAACATTCAAGGCTACAATCCTGTCTGCTCTAAACGGAATATTAATAATCTTTGTTCTATTTACTAATTGGATTGTTAGTATTTTTTTTCGACCTGACGTTTCAGATTTAAATTTCTTCGTAAGCAATCGGCTCAATGGCTTTTACTTTAATATATGCCTTACTATCACTCAAATCGCTTGTTAATTACAATCCTAAGCTTTCTAGCTTTTCTGTATATAGTACTTATGATGATAAACGGAAATACGACAGGAGTCTTAAGTACTTTAATTAAACCTACGCTTAAATATTCTGTTTGATATGAGTAACTACTTTTTAATAAGAGAATTTAACTCAATCATAGTTCGCTTGTCCTACTGTTTTATCCTGATCGTAATGTGGATGCCTGTTGCATTGAAATTGTTCACAATGCAGCCTAACAACTACTCAAGCAAAAGCATCGTATTATACAAATCTAAGCACCAATTGCTTTGAGATAATACTTTCAATTTAACGACAATTTTACCCGATTTCCAGCCGTAGTGGAGATGATGACGAATAGCATATACTAAAGTATTGATCTGACGTTTTCTTACAAATCTTAAGTGTATGAACATCAAATGACATTAAAAATTTTGATTTCGTTGTAATCAACCAGACTACTAAATGACCATTTATAATTTTATGTTGTTAACACATCTTATCATTCAATGATTTAGATATCCATTTCTTAATCATTAGGAATTAATGTTCATAACCTTACTGTCTATATTATAACATTTCATTTCAGTGTCTTGATATATTAGTGTCGATTTCAACGTAACACCTCATTATCATTGTTCAGAGTATTTTCAAAATATACACTAATGATGCATCTTAAGAACGGTAAGTTTTTTTCCCACTCATAACTATTCCTCACACTTAATCATTAGCTTTTTATTCAACTTGATGTTATACCTTTGTTTATAAATACTTCCGGTTCATCTTATAGGTAGTAGTAGAGCTTAGTAGCCATAGCAATCCGTTTTTATTGTGTATTCAGTTTTAAACATCTGTTAGTTGTTTATTGATCTGACGTCCTCAACAATCATTCTATTCCGAGTAAAATCAGTCGAACATTCAATTTTGATATAGCAGTCATTTATAGATTCTCTTTTCAATTTTTATAAGATGTTCTTCATGGACTAGGTTTCACTTTTAAAAAGGGGTTTTTGTTGTATACTTTTGAGAACTCCTGTTTTATTATGAAACGTATATTTCAATGCACCCTCCCAGATGTAGCTACTACCTTGACGTGGTGATCGTGCTTGCCTATCGTGATAACCCAACCAAGCCATATTGGCCGGAGCTTCTACCATACCAGACAGGTCGATTGGAGAACGGTGAGACTAAAAGCAGCTACTCAAGGTCTGAGGGCGAAGTCGTACTGTTGACTGTAGGGAGGTGTGACGTCAGTAGTAAGGTGTTTCCCTTGGACAACCAGCACCTACAACGATACTGCCTTCTCTCAATGGGAGGAACGGGTTAGTAAAGGTCGATCCTAAAAATGTCACACCTCACCTTACCTCAGATTTCCGTCTCCGGAGGTAAGTCCTTTTAAACAAGAACGGAGCTAACACTTTCAATACTACGCATAAAAAGGTCGTGCGTGACTGGCCTAAAGCAGTTGTCCGTTGCGCTCTGCGGTGACGCTCCCAGGTCTCTAAGACCACCGTTAATCCGATGTCCTTTTCAGGTTCCTCAGTAAGCATCCCCTTACGGTGTGGGCACCCGAGAAATGACATCCGCCCTCATACGTAGACCAGAACAGAAGACCAAACTAGTCAATACTTCATAGTTTTCAATTGTACCACAGCTAATGTCAACTTTTGAAGAGCATCTTACTTATCGCAAATTAACAGGATTTCAATAATGGATTGTAGATCTTCGTATCATCACTAACTACTGAAATGTATGATCAAACAATCTACCCACTTTTTAGTCTATTATTCAAACCATAATGATAGTATAAATAATGCTCCCACTAAAACTCATTTAGATACTGACATCAAAAACATTTACCAAGCTGATTCATCCCTTACTACGAAAATTTAAAACATTTTCAAATAGCCTAATGCCAAATCTGTACCAAATTTTTAATTCACATATTTGCTTCTACTGGTAAATTTGAGAAATATTTAGTTTTCTAACATTTACAAATGCTTTTAATAAAATATTTTGTAAATCGTTCCAATTCGATGAGGAACCCGAGTGAGCAATGCTGTTATTAGGAATCGGGTGCTTGGTAAGAATGGCAGGTCAATAGATGAAGTGCTGAAACTTCATCAATTGAGGTGGTTGGGACATGTGTTGCGCGTATGCCTAACCACCGACTGTCTCGTCAAGCTATGTTTTGTAGTGTAGGAGTAGGTTGGAAGAAAGGTAGGGGCGGCCAAACCAAAACATGGAAGAAATCCATGAAGTCATTGACAAGTGGACTGAGCCATGTTGGTAATTGTCGACTACCTGGTTAGGGTCCGAGAGATGATAATAATCGATTGTTAGAGACCTTGAATGACATGGCTCAAAATCGTTTGCAATGGCGCTGGTGCATTTATTCTTTGTGTTCTCTCAAATCTTAATCTTCTAGATTCTTCAACCCCTCTAGTTTTGTCTTTCTAAACTTATCTCACTGAATCATACTTCTTGAATAATTTCTTCTAATCCTAATCTCTCCGATTACTTCTAATACTTTTACTACCTCTTCTACTATTGGATTTGAATTGACAATTATATCTCTGTGCTGATGTGGTATGGCAATATGAACTGATGTACTTACGTACGAAGTTCTACGTTGCATCTGACTGACTGATGAGGAAAAAGATATATTTATCAAATATTCCTTACAACTGGTAATTGAACTATAACGTCAGAATTTATGATAATATTCTTTATTTCAAACTTGACTCCGTCATCATGAACGATGAATATTGTTAGTATTTTTCATAATGTAATCAATAAAGTTGAAGTAATTCACATACAGAATTCGTTCTTTCTTGACAATGCTAATCATTTTTCTTCACCACAATTCTAGGTGATCCAGAACCTTCTATCGATCCAACTAAATATACATTGTTCGCTTTTCGTTTTTGTCCATTCTGTGAACGTGTCAGATTAACTTTAAGTTATCATAAAATTGAGTAAGCTTTTGAATACTTTATTTACTTTCTTTCATTGTACTGAAAATGTTTTTGGTATGAAAAGAAGATTTTTTTAAAATCTATTTTGGTGATATTGTAGTGAACGAGAACACAGGTGAGGACAACCGAATTGTATTTAACGAAAATTACAGAGTTACTCAGTAAAAATAGGAAAACCATATCGTAAATCGTTCATTTGCAAAATATCAGTTCATCATATCGAACTGGACTGTTCCTGTTGCAAAACATCAATCCATTGTCACTATTCATGCGTTCGTTTCATACAAATTCCATTGTGTTCTAACTCGTCCTTTCTTGATCTTCCCCCCATCTTCTGCTGCTAAACATTACGTTGACACTCACGTCATATACTACTACTTATAATTAGCTCGCACCACCAAATCATTCTCCAATAAGTAATTAACTGTATGTATCCGGATTCGATAACGAGATTTTTTAATTCGAACGATTCTAAACGTCAAATTTTGTCTTATTGAATGGTTTGATGCTACAAAAATTGTATACTGAGTACCGACAGGATAAAAATTCTGTTCTTTTGTTAATAAGGCAGGCGTTTTAATTGAAAACTTGTATATGTGGTCTTTTTATAAATGACCGCAAACATTATTTTGAATACATGAATAGTGATGAGACCTTTCAAATAATCATATTTTTTACTTATTTTGAACATTGATAAGAGGAGACGAAAATGTATCATTTCTATTTTTTTTTTCTAAGATTAAAATTTAACAAAAACAGTCTAAAAAAAAAATGTTAGTTGTCACTTCCGCTTATCAATAATTTTCGGTAATCAGCGTGAAGTTCATTATTATCGTGAAGAGTTTTATTGCTTAGATATTTTCCATACATGTGTGTATTTTAATACCGTCCAACTTGTAATTTACATTCATAAAATTGATATTCTAGGGCTCTACCGTAAATGCTTGTATTGAACTACTGTAATATTAATAATGGTAATCATCTTTCCTTTAAACATATATCTTTTCTCCGATAGTTCACAATGTTAATGGAAATGCGAAGTGAAATGAATCTGACTGACATACACTTCCTTATCCAATAATATTTCCTGTATAGCATGAATATTTAAACGAACAATTAAGTTATTATTAATAAGACAGACAAACACAACGCAGAACTTCGTACATAAGTACATCAGTTCATGTTGCCATACCACATCAGCACAAAGACGTTACTGTCAGTTCAAATCCAAGAGTAATAACGATAGTAGAAGTATTAGCAGTAATGGAGAAGATTAGGGAGCGAAGATACGATTCTAGAAGTGTAATTCAGTGAGATAAATTTAGAAGGAGAAAGATAGAGATGATGAGGAATTCAGAAGGTTAGAATTAGAGAGAACATAAAGAGTGGATACACCTGCGCCATTGCAAACGATTTTGAGCCATGTCATTCAAGGTCTCTAACCATTGGTGACTATCGTCTCGTAGACCTCAACCAGGTAGCCTACATCTACCAACACGACTCAGTCCATTTGTCAGTGACTTCATGGATTCGTGCCGTGTTTTTGGTTTGGCTGTCCCTAGCTTTCTTCCAACCTACTCCTACACCATAAAACATGGCTCGTCGTGGCAGTCGGTGGTTAGGCGTTCGTAACACATGTCCTAACCACCTCAACTGATGAAGTTTCATTACTTCATCTATTGATTTGCCATCCTTACCTAGTATTCGTTTCCTAACTAGCATCGCTTACTCGGTCGTCCCACGATACACGAGCAATGCTTCGGAGACATCGATGATCGAAGACTAGTAACCTATGAAAGTCCTCTACTCTTAACGGCCATGTTTCGCATCCGTACAGTAGGACATAGCGAACTGCTGCACCGTACACTCGTCCTTTAGTTAGCAAACGGATATCTCGCCTGCGCCATAGGTGACGCAGGTTGGCAAAAGCCAATTGAGCCTTCTGTATCCGAGCTGAGATTTCGTCAGTCACCAGGCCATTAGCACTGATGAGACTCCCCAGATAAGTGAAGCAGTTTACTCATTCGACTACTTCACTCCCTATCACTAGTTCAGGTGCCGATGCAACCCAATCTTGAAGCAACATTTTGCATTTCGAGGGTGAAAACCGCATCCTGGACGCTTTAATAAGTGTGTATATATGTATATGTGTGTGTGTTGGACCAGATTTTTCAGAATGTATTAGCGCGTAATAGTATAGCATGAATGTTTAAACGAACAATTAAGTTATTATTATGAATAAAAAAATTAAATATTTCCTGAAAGTTTGATTAGGATCAGCTTTAAAAAGGACGTTTTTTTACAATCACCAATATAATTATCTAAGTTGCATGTGTATTGTTAAACTAGGCTACATGGAACTCATATCTTGAATGGCTCATCTCAAATGGTATACCGAAAAGTATGTATCTGTAACACTGATTAGGTGTTTCGTCTTGGTTTCGGACTCCTCAATAATGAGCATGCACATATTTCACATTGAAATCATCAATCAATCGTTGTTAGACCACCATTAGTAACATGAAATTCATGGACCTCCGTTTCGTTTTGATAAGGGACTCATCAGCAGTGCCCATCCACGACTTCTGCTACCCGCAGGATTCGAACTCAGGACCTTCGTTTTTATTCGGGAACTCCTAACATCTGGACCACTGGGCTGGATAAGTCCCATTACAGGACAAAACGGCCGTCAGCCAGTGCTTCCAGGTTTCTAATGTCGGGTGGTCTAACAATGATTGATTGATGATTTCAAATGTGTAAAAACACTGATCTTCATAACTCTAGTTAAACAATATCCTCCATATTAGTCTGTTGAATCGAAATTGACCAGTTCAAATTGCCGAATCCATTCAATCAACGAAATATTGTTTTAAAAATCTTATAACTACATTGTTACAGGACTACTGCCTTCCATCATTTGTTGTACTTGGTCGATAACAACTATCTTTGATAAGTCTATGTAACAAACAGCCAATCATCAACTAGCAGCATACAATGATCATTTGATTCAAGTACTTTTAGTGAAGACAATTTTGCTTAACGCATTGAAATTATTTACAGTTCAATATCAATCACTCACAAGTGACCAAATGACCAAAACCTGCTTTGTGTGGTCAAAATTGTTTGGTCAATTTTACAAATTAGATCTATCTATGCATACAAACGCATTGAATTAGTATATGCTTATCATTGCTAACAACTTACAGTTCTTTGTTTATTGTTCATACTGTGTTGTGACCTTTCAGTTTTATAATGTTCTAAAAATAATTTTTACAAGCCAGTAGTTAATATTGCGGTTACTGTAGCGTCGTAGCGTAGCATTTAAATTTTTGAAGTTTCATAATACGCACCTTATTTATTGACTTAACTAAATGATGAATCCTTTAGGGATTATAATCTAGAACCTTCAACTTGTAATACTGCTGTTGAGGTGTACGATACTGGTATTAGTGGGGGTGTAGGAAGGACTTGATTTTGAACATATTGGTCACGTGTGCTGTTGCGGGTATGAGGGCGGTTATCACTTCCCGGCTGCCCACACCGTGGAAGGTTGTTTCTTGAGAAACCTGAAAAGGAAGATAGATTAGTGTTGGTCTTAGAGACCAGGAAGCGTGACCACAGAGCCCAGAGGACAACTGCTTGAGGCCGGTACGCACGGCCTTTTGATGGGAGGTTTTTTTAGTAATAGCTCCGCTCTTTTTAAAAGCTCCTAGTGGGTACCCTTACCGCCGCAGACGGAAATCCGTGAGGTAGGTTGAGGTGTGACATTTTTAGGGTCGACCTTTTCTAACCCTTCCTTCCTTGTGAGGAGGCAGCATCGCTGCAGATGCTGGTTGTCTGAGGGAAACACCTTACTGCTGTCACACCCCTCCATCACAGTCATCAGTACGACTTTGCCCTCAGACCTTGGGTAGCTGCTTTTAGTCTCATTGTTCTCCAATCGACCTGCCTGGCATGGTAGAACCTTCAGAAACATACGTTCCATCCAGTATAGCTCGGTTGGGTCATCACGATAGGCAATCCCGACCACCACGTGTCAGGGTAGCAGCTACGGTTGGGACATATTTACTTACCAAGTAGCTGACTGACTGTCTCGTTTGGCATTAATTTAATTCATGCAAAATAATCAATCAATCAATTTGTTAAATGTTCAATGTTTCATTCCCTTTGTTTATATTTGACATTATTGCATTGTTACGCAATGACATGTTATCTCTCCGCCTCCTCCTCCTCTTATTTTTTTCTTCTCCTATTCACCTACTTCAGTTATGATTTAATTCTAATTTCACTTATTGATAAACCAGATTGGTTAGTTAAATATTCACCATTGGGTAAAGTGCCACTATTGATTAATCAAGGTGATAAACTGCTGGAATCGGATTTAATTATACGATTTGTGGATGAATTACACGGGAGTGATAATTCATTAATGAGTATATGTGGTGTGGAACAATTTCAAAAAGCTGGTGATTTAGCTAAAAAGGTTTGTTATCTCATGTTTATATATGTGTGTATTTATAAACCATTAGTGTTTATCAGATGAGAAAGTTTTGATCACGTAAATCATATGATACGAATGTTAGTTAGTCAGTAAGTCAGTCAGTTCAGGCTGCCATACCACGTTAGCACAGAGACGCGATTGTCAATTCAAACCCCATATTGGTAGTTGTAGTAGAAGTATTAGCGATAATGGAGAAGATTAGAGATCGAAGATATGATTCAACAAGTAGAATCTAGTGAAATAAACTTAAGAAAAGAAAGATAAAGGTGATGAAGAATCCAAAGGTTTTGGATTTAAGAGAACACAAAGAATAGTTGCACCTGTGCCATCGCAAACAATTTTGAGCCATGTCATTCAAGGTCTCTAACCATCGATTACTATCATCTTTTGGACACCTACTGACATGGCTTAGTCCAGACGTCGGTGACTTCACGGATTCGTGCCATGTTTTGGTTTGGCCGCCGCTAGCTTTCTTCTAACCTACTCCTACGAATGTGCATTCGATCAAGTGGAAGTAGTATCTTTTGTTAGTTTTTATTTCTTTAACCAACATTTTTCAATCATTTCATTGATAAAATATCTTAATCTTATCGCTCTATGATTTTCTCTCAACTAAATATGCCTCGATTCATGAATTTAAATCGAGCTAAGTATTGAATAAGTTTATATAAAATAAGCTGAAAATTTACTAACTGTCATAAAATCTCCGAAAACTATTTCACACTTACAATTCTATTCATTTCAAGTTATAACACAATATTCAATCATCGATAACCCTCTCAAATTCTAATCTTCGTCGTTACTCTTCACCTCTCTCTTTCTCTTTCTAACTTTATCTCACTGAATTATACTTCTTGAATATTATCTTCAAATCCAAGTCTTCTCCATTAGCAGTAATTCTTCTACTTACTATCCTACCACAATGAGATTTGAATTGACAATTGCGTCTCTGTGCTACTGTGTGGTATGGCAACTGGAACACTGATGTACGTACACGTACAAAGTTCTATGTTATTGTTGACTGACTGACTGACTGATTCATTCACTGACACTTAGATGTAATTGACTTATAATTCTCATGTCGATTATATTATCACTTAAGTTGTTTAATTGTCTTCTACTTTCTTCAAGAACTTGTTTTTTTTCTGTCGCAGACTGGCTTTTGCCAACCTGCGTCATTTGTGGCGAAGGCGAGATATACGTTTGCTGTACTGTGCAGCAGTTCGCTCCGTCTTACTTTATGGTTGTGAAACATGGCCAGTGCGAGTTGAAGATATTCGCAGGTTACTGGTTTTCGATCATAGGTGTCTTCGAAGCATTGCTCGTATATCGTGGGACAACCGAGTAAGCAATGCTATTGTTAGGAAGCGAGTACTAAGTAAGGGTGGCAGATCAATAGATGAAGTAATGAAACTTCATCAGTTGAGGTGGTTGGTACATGTGCTGCGTATGCCTAACCACCGACTACCTCGACGAGCTTCGTTTTGTAGTGTAGGAGTCGGTTGGAAGAAAGTTAGGGGCGGCCAGACCAAAACATGGCAGAAATCCATGAAATCATTGACGAGTGGACTTAGCCATGTCGGTAATTGTCGACTACCTGGTTGGGATCCGCAAGATGATAATCATCGATGGTTACAGACCCTGAGTGACATGGTTCAAAACAGTTTGCAATGACGCTGGTGCATTTATTCTTTATGTTCTCTCGAATCCTAATCTTCTGGATTCTTCAACCCATCTAGTTTTGTCTCTCTAAACTTATCTCACTAAATCATACTTGTTGAACAATATCTTCTAATCCTAACCTCTCCGATTACTTGTAATACCTTTACTACCTCTTCTACTATTGGATTTGAATTGACAGTGGCGTCTCTGTGCTGATGTGGTATGGCAACATGAACTGATGTACTTACGTACTAATTTCTACGTTGCATCTGACTGACTGACTCGAACTAAAAGTTCTAAAAACTTTAGATGATAAACTCCTAGATGATTTTTCTTGCTTCGTTTGTTTGTTTTTTCAACATACAACAAACTTTTGATCAGTTTCAATTTCACACATCTTATTCAATGGTAGTCAAAATCAATTTTGAAATACATTGAATAAGTTAATTTGAAATTTTTGCAGTTTATTATTCAAGTTTCTTTGCAAACGTTTCATTGAAAGTTACTAGTAGTTAGTTAGTTAGTTTTTCACACTCCGTCAAAATATTTACCATTTAAAAGTGATTTTGATGACTGTGAAAATCTGTACTCCTTCTGTTCTGCTTATTATTTGCTTAAAATGAGATAAATGTATGAATATTGATAAGGTTTAGGGAATATCTGTTATGCTCGTTAACAGTTGATATGCTTGAATGATATTACGAGTTCACCTTAGTCGGTAGTAAATGAGAGCGAAGACAAATGATCCAATGACACGGCAGGCTACTCTAAACCGAAGGAGGAATTCTTGATATGGCGTAGAAAGTGTATTCTACAAGTACCCAGAAAGTACGAGGTCTACAAGAACACAAATCGAGTTTATTTATACATGATGGAAACATCTTTCGGAGAGAGCCACAAGAATAGTGTACTAAAACAAGACATAAACTAATAACAGACAAGGATTTTCCGGGTTGGAAATGCGATCCCACGGTCAACTAATAAGCCCCATGCTCGAAAACAATGAATCCAAAATTAGGACATTTATCAAGTGAGTTCTAGGGATCTAACGTCCCCAACAATATCAGTGTTGAAAAACGCTGATGACACAATTCAGACCAGAATGAAAAAAAAGGAATCTGGCTTAATTGTGCTCACTTTCTCGTGCTACGCAACGAGTATGTATGTTATAGACCAATTACTCGAAGAAATAGCTGTACATGGATGTAATTGTATGTAGTTTTTGGTAGAACAAGACGCCAATACATTGGAACAAAGTGTACATTAGAGCAAAGGCATGAAAAAAGCCTCCTACACTACACTACCTTATTTAGCAAAATATATATACTATGCGACGAACGATTAGTGTAAGCTGATGATCTCGTCAAAAACTTTTATTCCCGAAACATGTTCCTAATTCTCAAACAAGAAACTGTATTGGTACTCATCTTATCCATAAGAAAAGATATTTCATTAAAATTCTAGATTTTTTTAAATTTAATTTAATTTTTTAATGTAAGTGTGTATACAGTTAACTCCACCTATAGAGAGCTGTTCTAGGGTTACCACTGGTCCGAAGCCCACACGGATAAAGCAGTAGAGGATTGGGCATGTGATTAGTGGTGACCCAATCTCATAGAAATCCATCTCTCTAAACAGGAAACAAATTCGCTGTTCAGCGGCCTATGCTCCATTAGGGGGAATAGGTGTAAGTAAGCAAGTAAAAGTGTATACAGTTGTTGGTTTCGCAAAGCAAGCTTGTTGAAATATTCCATGCTAAGAATTCCAAATTGTATTGAATAAAGCCATTATTATTATTATTATTATTATTATTATTATTATTATTATTATTATTATTATTACACATTTGAATTCATCAATCAATCATTGTTAAACCACCATTAGAAACCTAGAAACACTAGACGGCCGTTTTGTCCTGGTATGGGACTCATCGGTAGTGCACATCCATGACTCCACATCACAGGATTCGAACCCGGGACCTTCAGTCTTGTGCGCGAACTCGTAACCTCTGGATCACTGTGCCGGCATCTAACGGTGTTCATGTCTAACTGTGATTGATCTAGGAATTTTGCACTACCTCACCCATTTGTCTTTTGGTAGTTACTGCGTACACCCAACAGGGTTGAACTTCATACCAGGACGAACCGGCCGTCGTCCAGTGTTTCCAGGTTTCTAATGTGGTGGTCTAGACAGATACAACGCAGAACTTCGTACGTAGGTACATTAGTTCAGGTTGCCATACCACATCAGCACAGCGACGCAATTGTCAGTTCTAATTCAAGAGTGATAACGATAGTAGAAAGATTAGCAGTAATGGAGAAGATTAGGGAGCGAAGATATGATTCGAGAAGTATAATTCAGTGACATAAATTTAGAAGGAGAAAGATAGAGATGATGAGAAATTCAGAAGGTTACAATTTCATAGAACACAAAGAGTGGATGCACCTGCACCATTGCAAACGATTCTGAGCCATGAAGTTGTTCAAGGTCTCTAACCATTGGTGACTATCGTCTTGCACACCCTAACCAGGTAGGTAGCCTACATTTACCAATATGACTCAGTTCAGTTGTCAGTGACTTCATGGATTGCTGCCATGTTTTGGTTTGGCCTTCGTTAGCTTTCTTCCAACCTACTCCTACACTGTAAAACATAACTTGTGGTGGTCTAACAGTCATTGATTGATCATTTCAAATGTGTAGAAAACACTAGTCTCCATAAATCTAATTGAAAGCTATTATTATTATTATTATTAATATTTACTATAAGAAATTCGTTTTCATTGTTGTCTCTTTTACATCCTTAATTCAAGTAAAATTCGAATTGAATTAGGGAATTTTTTTCTCCCAATTATGATTGTTGTAAAAAGAATTCAAAGTTAAAACAATTCGTGCCTGTTTTTTTTTTATTCTAAAATTTTCTAATTGGGGGACAACAATGAAAAGATGGTATTGATCTGGAAAGAAAAGAAAACTATTGCACACTAATACAAATCAGGTCATACACACTATATATATATATATATGTGTGTAAGTGAGTAAGTAAGTAAGTAAGTGTGTAAGTAAGCAAGAGAGTGAGAGAGAGAAAGGTAGTGAACATAGTATGGGAAAAAATATGGGGAAATTGTCACGTAATCAGGTTAAATTCAAGATTATAAGAAAATTATTTCTGTACACATAAGATAGGTTTGAATATGTGAATATAAGCTAAGGCCTCCGCCTTAAAAATCATACTGTTTTTATTCACCTAGTTTTTCCCCTCGAAATGCAAAAATGTTGCTTCAAGATTGGGTTTCATCGGCACCTGAACTAGTGATAGGGAG